GTAGGGCAATAGAATATACGGTCTGTACAGTATAAAAACCATTACGCCTATGGGATGTCCCCACTTTTCACAAAAACAAACCTGTGTGTGTGTGTGTGTGTGTGTGTGTGTGTTTGTACCTGGTGGTAATTAACGGATAGGTCTTGTCTGGGCTGTTGAGCGTCTCTTTGCTGTCGGGTAGAGATGTGTACAGCAGCAGATCTCTGTCTGTCAACACCGCCAGGATCGGCCGCTCTGAGCCCTGCCGTCACACACACACACACACACACACACACAGTCATCAGGCTCTGCTGCATCGTCTCGTCTCGTCTCGTCTCAGATGATATGATATGATATGATATGATATGATATGATATGATATAAAGCAGCACAACTGTTTTTAGAGTGATTTCTGAAGATGACACTGAAGACTGGAGGAATGATGCTGAAAATTCAGCTTTGATCACAGAAATAAATTACAGTTTAACAGATATTTACATTGAAAAAATATTTTAAATTGGAAAAATATGTAAAAATTTTACTGTTTTTACTGTATTTTTGATCAAATAAATGCAGCCTTGGTGAGCAGAAAAGACTTTTAAAAACATGAAAAAACCTACCGACCCCAAACTTTTGATAGGAAGAATATAATATCTATTTGTATTATTATAAATCTATATAAATGTGTCTAAACATTGTAATGAACAAATGTAACGATAGATAACTATTTAGCGGTTTTGTAACCACCTGACATAGAAAGTGTTTAATGTTTGAATTAGACAAGCTGGAGTAAATCCTGATCTTTCAATATGAGCCAAATCAGATACAGATCTAAACACCACAGGTGTGTTTGTACCTGTCCTCTGTGTCCGGCGGGCACTGTTTGAGTGTCACGTGGCACATTCGGAGTGGGATGGTCTGGGTCTCTTTTAGCACAGGGTCCGTCTGTTTCTGTGGGCTGGCTGGAGGAGAATCGAGCACCGGGGGTCCCGTCATCGATCCACCCTTAAAAAACGCCGACATCTCCTTAATATACTTCACTATCAAGAGAAAAAAAGACAGACATGGGCATTATTCATACTGCTAATTTAAAGTGTTCCTGTCATGTTTAAATACAGCTCAGCACGTCACTTTACTACCGTCCTGATCAACTCTAGTTATGATTAGTTTGGAACACTAGCATACTGCTTACTACATACTACACAGAAAACACTGAATACTGGCTGATGTTTTGCAAGAATAGTATGTGAAACAGTTTCATGCATCACACAACAACAAACATTTCAAATAATAAAAAATACAAACAACAAAATACAATTTATAAAAAATACAAATGATAAAAACAGATGTTTTTGTATTTTTAAACAATTTTTAATTTCAAAAAAAAATACAAACAATATAAAATACAATTTATAAAAAATACAAATAATAAAAAATATTTTTTGTATTTTTAAACATTTTTAATTTCAAATAAAAAATACAAACAATATAAAATACAATTTATAAAAAATACAAATAATAATTGTTTTTGTATCTTTAATCATTTTTTAATTTCAAATAAAAAATTCAAACAATATAAAATACAATTTATAAAAAATACAAATAATAATTGTTTTTGTATCTTTAATCATTTTTTAATTTCAAATAAAAAATTCAAACAATATAAAATACAATTTATAAAAAATACAAATAATAATTGTTTTTGTATCTTTAATCATTTTTTAATTTCAAATAAAAAATTCAAACAATATAAAATACAATTTATAAAAAATACAAATAATAATTGTTTTTGTATCTTTAATCATTTTTTAATTTCAAATAAAAAATTCAAACAATATAAAATACAATTTATAAAAAATACAAATAATAAAAATTTATTATTTTGTATTTTCAAATTTTTTAATTACAAAAATGCAAACAATATAAAATACAATTTATAAAAAAATACAATAAAAATAAAAAATGTTGTATCTTTAAACAATTTTTTTATTTCAAATAAAAAAATACTAACAATATAAAACACAATTAAAAAAATTGATTTTTTTGTATTTTTAAACATTTTAATTTCAAATAAAAAATTCAAACAATATAAAATACAATTTATAAAAAATAAAAATAATTAAAAAAAATGTTTTTTGTATTTTTAAACATTTTTAATTTCAAATAAAAATACAAACATTATAAAATAAAAATTATAAAAAAAATACAAATTATAAAAATAGAATTTTTTTTGTATTTTTAAACTTTTTTATTTAAAAATATAAACAATATAAAATACAATTTATAAAAAAATTCAAATAATAAAATTGATTTTTGTATCTTTAAACATTTTTTAATTTCAAATAAAAAATACAAACAATATAAAATACAATTTATTAAAAAAATTATAAAAATAGATGTTTTTGTATTTTTAAAGATTTTTAATTTCAAATAAAAAATACAAACAATATAAAATACAATTTATTAAAAAAATTATAAAAATAGATGTTTTTGTATTTTTAAAGATTTTTAATTTCAAATAAAAAATACAAACAATATAAAATACAATTTATTAAAAAAATTATAAAAATAGATGTTTTTGTATTTTTAAAGATTTTTAATTTCAAATAAAAAATACAAACAATATAAAATACAATTTATTAAAAAAATTATAAAAATAGATGTTTTTGTATTTTTAAAGATTTTTAATTTCAAATAAAAAATACAAACAATATAAAATACAATTTATTAAAAAAATTATAAAAATAGATGTTTTTGTATTTTTAAAGATTTTTAATTTCAAATAAAAAATACAAACAATATAAAATACAATTTAGAAGAATACAAATGACATTCTTTTGTATTTTTAAATAATTTTAATACAAATATATGAATAAAGTAAAATATTATGAATGCAAAAATAAAAATGTCAAACGCATTAGTTTACAGATATTCTATGCATACTGTTCACAGCATGCATGCTGCAAAAATAGTATGAGTAGTACTGTATGCTATTTTTAACACAGCTGTAGACTCACTGGCACAACCCACTAAACTCTGAAATCTTGCTGATTTAAGCTGAACGACTATAAAAGGAGAGAACAAACTACCAATAAAGCAGCTTCAGATGAAAGAAGAAGAAGTTCCAAAGAAGTTCACAACCTAAAATAAGTGTGCTCAGTGCTGAAGTCCAGTGCGTTTGCACAGTTTAGACAAACCGATGGCAGATTCTGACGCTTTATTTCTACTGACTTCATGAACTGAAAAGGACAATGCATGATATATGCATGCTGTCAGAAATAAGTAGAAGTTGAATGCTGAATATTTTAGTGGATTTTAAAATGGCCATACTGTTGTCAAAGCTACAATGTGCCATGCATAGAAAAAAGTAAATGTCCAATGTAAATGTGTGAGGAAGTCCCATTTCTTCCTCATTTTATTCAAAAACTACAGCCTTCTGACCTTCAGAGGTTGAAAATAAGAGGCTGAGGTTAGTTGTTAAATACAATTTGGAGACGAAATGTCACAGCGGTTTAATACAATTCAAAGGTCAAAACACTTTCAAATTTAGAGGTCAAAACAACAGCTGCTGAATACAATTAGAGCAATGTCCTGCATTACACACTACAGAACTACCCTGAAGATACTGAAGGAAACAATATCTTTTTCAATATCCAATGATCTCATTTATATTAAATATGACAGAATACATACAAACATATATGTATATATATATATAAGAAATTAAAGTAAATTAAAATCAAATTATATAGATTAAAATTTTATGAATCAAACAATATAAAATACAATTTATAAAAAATACAAATAATAATTGTTTTTGTATCTTTAATCATTTTTTAATTTCAAATAAAAAATTCAAACAATATAAAATACAATTTATAAAAAATAAAAATAATTAAAAAAAATGTTTTTTGTATTTTTAAACATTTTTAATTTCAAATAAAAATACAAACATTATAAAATAAAAATTATAAAAAAAATACAAATTATAAAAATAGAATTTTTTTTGTATTTTTAAACTTTTTTATTTAAAAATATAAACAATATAAAATACAATTTATAAAAAAATTCAAATAATAAAATTGATTTTTGTATCTTTAAACATTTTTTAATTTCAAATAAAAAATACAAACAATATAAAATACAATTTATTAAAAAAATTATAAAAATAGATGTTTTTGTATTTTTAAAGATTTTTAATTTCAAATAAAAAATACAAACAATATAAAATACAATTTAGAAGAATACAAATAACATTCTTTTGTATTTTTAAATAATTTTAATACAAATATATGAATAAAGTAAAATATTATGAATGCAAAAATAAAAATGTCAAACGCATTAGTTTACAGATATTCTATGCATACTGTTCACAGCATGCATGCTGCAAAAATAGTATGAGTAGTACTGTATGCTATTTTTAACACAGCTGTAGACTCACTGGCACAACCCACTAAACTCTGAAATCTTGCTGATTTAAGCTGAACGACTATAAAAGGAGAGAACAAACTACCAATAAAGCAGCTTCAGATGAAAGAAGAAGAAGTTCCAAAGAAGTTCACAACCTAAAATAAGTGTGCTCAGTGCTGAAGTCCAGTGCGTTTGCACAGTTTAGACAAACCGATGGCAGATTCTGACGCTTTATTTCTACTGACTTCATGAACTGAAAAGGACAATGCATGATATATGCATGCTGTCAGAAATAAGTAGAAGTTGAATGCTGAATATTTTAGTGGATTTTAAAATGGCCATACTGTTGTCAAAGCTACAATGTGCCATGCATAGAAAAAAGTAAATGTCCAATGTAAATGTGTGAGGAAGTCCCATTTCTTCCTCATTTTATTCAAAAACTACAGCCTTCTGACCTTCAGAGGTTGAAAATAAGAGGCTGAGGTTAGTTGTTAAATACAATTTGGAGACGAAATGTCACAGCGGTTTAATACAATTCAAAGGTCAAAACACTTTCAAATTTAGAGGTCAAAACAACAGCTGCTGAATACAATTAGAGCAATGTCCTGCATTACACACTACAGAACTACCCTGAAGATACTGAAGGAAACAATATCTTTTTCAATATCCAATGATCTCATTTATATTAAATATGACAGAATACATACAAACATATATGTATATATATATATAAGAAATTAAAGTAAATTAAAATCAAATTATATAGATTAAAATTTTATGAATTATACATCTCAATTACATTGAATTGATGAAAATTGACTAGATAAACCGATATTAAATAAAAATAAATTAATAATTTATTAATTCAGTCATTCATTAAACCTAGTCCAAAATGTAGTAACAAACAGCAGCATTTAACTTAAAATATATATATATTTTTTTGGTTCATTGGTTTTGGTTCGTTGGTACATTGCGCAAAAAAATTATTCACAAGAACAAATTTGAAAGAGATCATGGTTATTGCATCAGAAATATATTTTTTCAATATATAAATAATATCCATTGATCTAGATTAGAAGACAGGACTTTTAAACAGAGTGTGTTTGATTATGGCATCAGCAATATCTTTTTCAATATATAAATGTCCATATATAAATTATTTCAATATAGAAAATTTCAATATATAAATTAGGTTGAGAGTATGAAAATATACATTTATATTGAATGAATGAACCCAATGATTAAACTCATTAAAATACAGTAAAAATAACAGCATTTAACAAAACAAAAAAAAACGTTAAAAAAAAATTTCTATTCAGTGCTACATTCCGAAAGAAATAATTCACTAGATTGAATTTGATATAAAGTGTGTTTGATTATTGCATCAAATCTCAACTGTGAATCTGCACATATTATCAGGCAACTGAAAAATTAAGTTCAGTTTGTATCAGCGCTACATTTAGTTCCTCAACAGTGCTACTAAACCACACACACACAAACACTCTCTCTCTCTCACACACACACACACACACAAACACTCTCTCTCTCTCTCACACACACACACACACACACACACACACAAACACTCTCTCTCACACACACACACACACACACACATGATGGTATAAAT